AAAGCACCAACAAAACAATGTAGTTTGTTAAGTAAAAGTCCTTCATTCAAAATCCCATTTATGATAAAGTACATAAGTATTATCAGCAAAATGTACAAGTAAGAGTTCTAGTCGGTCATTATTTATTGCATTATCAGAGGATTCTGGATCAATGCATATTGATAAGCAGTATGTTATTGGTCAAAGCGGGGCTATTTTTAACTACATTAGGGCTGCAAATAACTATTATTTTAATTATTGATTAAACTGATTATTTTCTCAATTAATTGTTTTGTAGAAGCCCAGAATGAAACAGAAGAAACTGTCCATGTCCAGAAAGAAAGATCGGTGCGTTCCTCATTTTTACTCTTTGGCATATAATGCAGGATTCAGCATTATTGTTATGGGCATGCAAAGATGAGAATTAATATGCTGTAGGTAGTTGGTAGCAGCTGGAGGGGAGAATCAGATTTGAAAACGAGAAATTGATCTCCATAATGTCATTATACCATTCTAAAATAGATAAACCTCTTTTTTCCTTGTGAAATTGCAAAGGTAGTGCATAAAAAAATCTCTACCAGATTGTCAAATATGGAATAATCTACTGTTAAATGCAGACAGTATAACATGGCAAAGAGCACTTGGCTACATTGTATATCACTCAGAAGTTAAAAAGGCAGGGAAATATTATATCAGTCCATGATAGGACCTTCCACAAAGATTCTACATTTCTACAATACTTACAACTAAGATCTTTAAAACAATTCACATCCAAGTGAATCATACTGGGATCAGAAAGTGGCCTTGAAATCAAACTGAGGGCTGTTGCTACTGGGCGAGGAACAACTCGGCTATATCCAAGTTATTAAGTGTATCCCTACCTGACAGCACTATCCCCACCAAATTACAATCAGATTAAGACATTGGTTCAACCCATCCTCCAGATCAATGGGACTCAATATTGAAGCATTCAGCATCCACTGTGTCCAACAGTGTGAGGTATAAAGTTATTCAAATGAAGGTCAGACATGGGGCCTATATTACATCACAAAAGTTAAAACTAGAATTACTACCATGCGGTTGTATCCCTAGTTTTATTGCAATTCCCCACAAATATCACAGACATAATAATAGGCATACAAAGTCTTGAGTTATGGCTCCTACTGTGGTCCTGTCCGACAATAAAAAATACAACAATCTTTACTGAGGCAATTGGTTGTAGAGAGGATAATGAACCCTCATATTCCTCAATATCCTGCTGTATGCTCACTGGCAAAGAGAATGGAAAACAGACAAGTAAAAGTAACGTCATGTGACGTATAGTGTCGCACTAGCCTCTCTCTCTGAATGCAGCTGAAAAGTCTGTGTGGCGAGCAAAAGAGGCAGAAAGCATTGGCCAGAATGCAAGCCCACCGGCTAACATCTAAAGATGATCGAGCTTTTTATTGGTTGAAGAAATAGCTTGTAAACTGGCTACTTGTGAAACAATCCGGTTGAAAGCGTCGTATCTCAACTCCAGTCTCGCGTTGCTAATCGGACTGCGTGGCATACAGTTGCTAAAGGGGGCCTCTGTGCAGAGCAGCACTGACTGAGCCGTTGTATTTGACGAGTTAGGAGTGAGACCGGGTAGCTCACTATACATGAATAATGGAGTAATAAGTGTATGCATGCGTTAAGTGGTTGTGAGTAGGACCCTCCCCTCTACCCGGGCTTGGCTCTCCCGGGGGGGCGATGGGCGCCTGGCCTCCAGCAGAGATCGATGCCTCCTTTCCCTGCTTCAATGTGCTTCTGATCTTAATGTATGTTTTTCATGAAAAACGTAATGTTTTTTTCTTTTTTTAAAAGCCTTCTGTTGACCATTCAGTCACCGTGTAGTGTTTCCCTTCAGGCCATTTACACAATAACAATGCATTTGTCTAATTAAGAGTAATTAGCACATCTTATGATTCTTTTTTTTTTTTACTAAAGGTTTTCCTCCAGCAACACAAAGAGAAATGGGATGTGCTTTTAATAAATCATTGTGAAGTGAATTTTAACAACAGTCAATTTGCTCTCTACTTCCTGTGAGCGACCTTCTATCAACATTGCTCATCGTTTCTCCTCCTCTGGGATTTGGATGAAAACCTTCTCTGAAAAAAAACAAAAAAAACAATCAAATATTTTAAAGCTAACTGAGCGTGAGAATTCCCAAAGTGGATCAAATCAAAGCGTAAAGCAGAGCTTACGATTCCCCGTCAAACAGGGAAGGTCACGTTCCTCTTAGCCTACAGCATTTTTCTGTCTCATCACTTGACATGGAACTTGAAATGGGCCACTCCACCTAAAATAATCAAAGCTCATTTGCATTTTTTCATGAAGAGAGATTCTCATCAAATGGTCTTTCACTGACTTGCTAGGCCAAAACAGTACACATCTATTTTACTTCCAAACCAATTTGCATGAATGAGAATGCACTAACATAATAAGGCTTGATTAAAAATGTCTATTCAACACCTCAACCCTATCTGTGAGATGTATGCGGACGCTGTGGGCCAGTCCAGCTGAAGTAAGAGGACACAACTCGGCTTTTACATCAACTGGCTTAATGCTGAAAAACCCAATGTGCTGCCACTTTGAAGAAGAACTTCACCAAACAATGTCATTTATCAGAAATGGGAAATAGATTTGGGTCTTATAAATGTAGAAACAAATAATTGACAAATGGGACATGTAATATCAGTCTGTTTTCTGTAGCTGCAGGGGTTGCAGCTGCAGTCGGGGTTTTTAACCAAGCCATTTCAATCGGCTGGGTCAGTATATAATATCTCCTGTGCCAATTTTCAGTTGGAATCAAATCTACCAAACATTTAGGTGCTACTCCACCCAAAATCCGTTGAGTATTGTTCCCTGCGGGCAGAGTGAGTTGCTAGTTTGATCCCTTGCAGAGGCTGCGGTCAGTTTGTATTCACAGCGGTTACAACATATTTCAATGGTGACACAGTTTCACAGTGTACAGAAAGTCCCCAAGAAAACTTCTCAGACTATTCCTGGAGAATAACCGTCTTTTTCGCTGTGTTGTCAGTAAGCTCAGCATGACACAAACACATGTGGCTCAAAACTGTGTTTCCAGCTGTTCTCTATAAGGACACAAATTACAAATGTTTTGCAACCACCTGTTGAGTATTTAGTTTTTCATACAGTTATCAATAAACAGTAACATGTGCCAAAAAAAACCACATGGTGGAGTTAGAGCTGCAACACATTTGAGCGTTACAGCTTCTCAAACGTGGCGATTGGATACTTCTTCACAAACAGATTATTTTAGCTTTTTGGACTGCTGGTCAGAAAAAACAAGACATTTGATGACATCACCTTAAACAGGTTTTGGGATGTTGGATTAACCGAGAAGACAATCATCAGATTTATCAATAATGAAAGTGAGTTCCAGTCCTAAGAGGGGCACGACTATTTTAGAAGTTCGAATTTCCACAGTTAGTCACAAATATGGATGTGCTGCTGTCAAATTTCCATGCAACAATTATTGTGGCAATAAACTATTGATGATAAAATATTGAAAAATTAATTTTCATCCCATCGTCTTTGGTCATTAGCAAAGCTAACAAACTGAACAGTGAATTGCAATTTTGTGGAACTCTACAAAAGAACCGACTTAAAATACCATAAACACAAGAGTCTCTGTCTGAAATTCAATGCACCTATTCATGTTCCAATACAGGTTCTGATTTATTTTGGATGTTAATAGCTACGATAGTTTGAAAAGGGCAAAACGTTTATAAAAATGTAGGATTGGTAATCTGGAGAAATTAGCAAGAGTACGATTTTCAAAAATGAACAAACTGTAAAAGACAGCCAGTGTTGCAAACTCTTTTCCAATGAAAGTAGAAGCACTAGCTCCAAAATTATCATTATGAACATAACCAACGAACATGGCTATTGTAAACACGCACATCTCCCAAACTAGCATCTTATAGAAGACTGCAGTGAAAAGAAATGAAGGCCTCTTTGACCACACATGTTGTTTTACTCCATAGAGAAGTAGTGCCTCACTAGGTTGACTCGCTAATGTTAGAATAGAACGTCGTGGCCACCGTAGTTAGAGGTCTGCAGACATGCAGCCTAGTTAGCTGCCCCTGCTGTGGCTCATCTGCCTAATGTGACTAATCAAAACAAAACTGCTAATGAAGGTAGGAAGGCTATGGTGTTCACTGTGCCCTCCGAAAGAATCGGTACTCTGTGTTGGTGGTGTTGTTCCCCTCAGTATGTTTCTTTCACTAAATATTAAAAGCGGTAGACCGGCACAACTCCGGTCATGAATAGGCGTGACATGCCCTAAATCCCCCATTTTCATATTCATACTCCACCCTGCTCCACCACTCCATTAGACCTGTCAGCTATCATTACGAAGGACCGGTAGCCGCCACTATGTGCCTATTTATAGCGGCTGTATCATTATTTCATTAAATGTACCATCAAATGCTGTGATGTCTCAATCATCATCATTAAACATCAGAGGGACAATTAATTTCAATATACTTTACAACGCTGCAATCAAAGGTCTTTACAAAGTGCTTCACAATAAAAGGATAATATGATAGGAGCCTTAAAACAGGACGATAAAATGATGCTGCCAAAAATAGATTGGCAATATTGCACACAAAAAAAAAAATTTCGTTTTATATGCACCGTAGATTGATAATCTATAACAACTACACATTACTGTGTAGACTGCAGACATATCAGTGACACTACCAACTGATACAGACAATATTTTATTATTTAGATTTTGTCCCTCAGCTTATATTTCATCTACTGTTCATGACAACCAACTGGTCTTTCATAAATTAAAGTGTGGGAAACGATGTGTGCACGCATGGATTCTGTGCATACATGGTGTTTATACATCCCAAAAATGGTGCGCATAAATAAACTGAACTCACATTCAGTCAAATAAAACTAGAAAAGGAGCTTTGTCAACGCAAAATAATAAATTACAGAGTAAATAATCTTTTCATTCTCTTAACCTGAGCCTCTCGCAGCAGTCTGCAGTCTCTTTGTGCATCAGAAAGCCTCTCCTCTCCGGTACATGACACACTGAAGGCCGGGGTGATGGCACTCATTTTCTCCTCACGGGGAAGTCAGGAGCTAAAAACGGAGGAGCTTAAGTCCTCTGCACACAAGGAAAATAATGCAGTTGGAGGTCAACGCAGTTGAACAGACAAATCCCCATCCACAAAATATGTACACATTAAACCCATGATTATACAGATGGAGGCGTACAAAAATAGACCCTGAGCAGTGTGTTCAAACCCTGCCTCACTGATCCCTGTTATCTTAATCATGGGAAGGTCTCTGGGGCAGGCGACTGATTGTGGACGTAACCTCAAAGAAATCTAGAAGGCACTTGAACCAATTCTGAGATTAGATGCCATTTTCATCTCAAGCTTCTTTTGTCCCGTCCGCACCGCAGAAAAACGTTGAATCCAGCTGCCACGGATTCCCATTAAAAGGGACAGTATTCTCAAACTAGTAATGAAATAATCTGCGCGTACAAAGACACGTCGAGGAACGCTGTTCTAACCTTCAGCAGGGCTAGAAGCGGAGAACCGAGAAAGCTGTCTGGCAAAGAAAAAGAAGAAAAAAATCTGATGACCACTTACGTAAAAACCACCACACAGTAACAGTCCCACCCCCCGCCGCGTATTCTTAATACAGGCTCTCAGCACCAGGATATAGGGGTCCAAATGTTCTCAGGGTAATCATGTTATTGTTGGCAGCCCTCAGCAGGAGCAGATATGACTTCCATTTACTGAAGGAGTTGCAGGAAGGGAACGGTGTTGGTGAGAGTGTTGGTCATGTGGCACTGCAGATAACGGCACCAGTATGATCTGATTACTCGTGATTTAGCCGCTTTCTGAATGACTGGCATCAGATTAGAAGATGCATACGGCACAAAAGGCCTCTTTGGGGGGTGGAACAAGCCTTCTTAATATCTAAAACAAGAGCACATGTAATCTTAACGGTAAGTGGTCTGTCTCTTCTTTCTGTGCAGACTTGCTTTGATCCGGTAAATATGTAACAAAGGAGGATCTTCAGGGATCTGTCCAAGTGCAGCGGGGCATGTGCGTCTTCTTGCATTGCTGCATTCTGGCTGCTCTCCACCCCCCCTTTGGGCATTTTGAAGGATAACAGACCATATTTAGTTAGCTGGTACAAAGAGAGGAAACGAGGCAGTACAGAGCTATTCCAAAAAAAGACATATCCGATATCAGACTCCACAGAATTTAATCTTACATTCATCAAGTGACTTAATTCCCAATGACTTCCCAATATGAAAGCTAGCGTTTGCTCTTAGATTATGTGCAGGAATGATGTTGCCATATATGTGCAGACAGATTCACCCTCAGCTGGAGCTCTTGAATGTATATGTGCAAATATGAGGTGGATTTTTTTAGGTTTTAATAGAGATTTTTCCATTTATCAGTAAAGACATTGACACAAACAATCATGTCAAGGTACAGGTATGTACAAAAAGATAAAGAATTGGGTGAAAGGGGAAAAAAGCATTTGTTTTTGTCAAGCATATTACTCTAGCTAGCTGAAATGATTAATTACTAAAAAGAAATCTGCAAATCTTCATAGCTCCAGCTTCTACTTTATGAAGATTAGTTTTCCTCATCTTGTCTTGTGACAGTAAATTGAATATCTGCAGGTTTGAGAATGACAAAACAAGTTATTTGATATCATCTCCTTGGGCTCTAGGACATTGTGATGGGCATTTTCTGACATTAAGTCAAAAGATGAATCAATTAAACCAAAGATAATCAATAATTGCAGCCCTACATATTACCCTGGCTTTATTACTTCAAGGTATATTTGTACCCTGCACCGAGAATCACAAAGTTGACTGCTTTTCTTTTCAAAATGTGGGACTTAACGTGACATGCAACCGTTTCCCTGAGCCATGAAATGCCACATCACAACATATCACAGTAAATTAAGCTGCTCCTTATCAAGACATGCCACAAACCCGCTGACACTGGTCTGGTTGTATTGCAACACCGGTACTTAAATTGAATCAGAATTGTTGGTACATTTAAATAAGATTACATGTTACCCGTGCACTGACTGAGCTCAGGGAGACCACCTCTTTGGTTACTGTCAGCCAGCCAGTCGACAGCGAAGCAAACCAACACATGCAGGCAAGGAGCCAGTATTTATTTTCACCAGTGCCTATGCCCAGTAACGCTGGCACTTGCCCAGCAACACTCAGGCAAAGTAGGGGGTCCAAGGCTGCTCTGCCTTCCCCCCTCCCCACCCCACCCCCACCCGCTGCTGCTGCTGCTGAATCTCTGAGCACCATCTCCATCCAGCCCTGTCATTTCTCAAGATTCACCTCCAGAAGAACTGGACTGACATGTTCCTTCTCCCCTCAGCATACAGGTTACTGCATGAAAACCTGCTGCTTTGTTGTCTAATCGAGTTAGGAAATAGAAGACCAAGTTGATTAGTGTTTACAAGGGAGAGGAGGCGGGTTGGCTGGCTGGATGCATTGACAGAGCAAAATGAGAGAGGAGATGAGAGCTTTCAAAAGCTATCCAGGCTGTCATTAGCTTCCCTTGAATGCGGCAGCTAATGTGTGGGAAGGACGTGCATGCCAGTCCTTTAAAACTGTACACACACACACACACACACACACACACACACACAATACACACTAGCATAATGGATGCACTTGAACGCCTCATACATTCGAAGGAAAATGTGATTAACATGCATAATGCAATTCTCCGAGGGGAATTAATCGTATCAGTTTGTCAGCTTCAATGTGTTTAACGTTACAGTGGACACTAACGGCTCTGCAAAGAATGATGTATTGTCTCCCGTTGGTCGCTGTGCTGGCTGGTGAAATGCCTTTTTACAAAAAAACAAAAACCTCGCTTCTCCCTGCGGGCGGTGACTTCAAACATTTACCATCTTATGCATGTGAATCCCGAGATAAAGCCGTCTCCCTGCCGTACATGCATCAGTCATATAGCGCTACTAACCTTGGTCCGGTCGCCTCCTGTTATCCACTTGTTACAATGGAAATGTAACACCATGGATCCCCCAGTTAAGTTTCCTGGCAGTCGGACAAAAATGAAGCAAGCAAGCCGAGCTGGGGACAAAAACACCGTGGTGACCAGAGGTGTGTGTCTGTGTGTGTGTGTGTGTGTGTTAAAAAGCCTGGGTGTTTTTCTCAGGGTACCGTCTGCAAACAACGAGAAAAAGGTTGTGTCTTCAAACAGCTGTTTTCCAAAATGGAGTTATCCGTGTCTGAGCCAATCACAGCGAGCCTGTGGAGGCTCCCACTCCTCTGTGGGCTGGAGAAAACACTACACTGCACTCTGAAGATCAAACACTAACGTTACATTTTTTGTTCTTTCTTCTTTCTTTTTTTCCGGGATGATTCAGTGTAGCTTTCATGTCACGGTGGCTTTATTGAGACACACATCAAACCACCAGACACCCCGACTGATGAGATTTCCTTGTAGGGAACTCCCCAAATGTTTCTTATGTTGGTTTTAGTGGTCGAGGAAGTATTCACATTCTTTCAGTGAAATTAAAATGTCAGGATAAATATCAGGAAAATGCACCCCCCCTCCAGCCAACAGTCCAAACCTCCACATTATAATCTGAAATGATGAAAAAAGAGAAGCAGCACATCTTCCCATTTTCATTTAAGTGTTGTTAAATGACCTTCTGGGTTTGTCAAAGATCAACGAGAAATAGATGCTTCAATCTGTGACATGAGAGGCACAAACTGGACTTCTTTTAAACCTGCAGCTTGTTGTTTCTTCAGACTTTGGAAACTAAACTTCATGTGTAAAATCTGTGGAGTGCCCCTTTAATTGATCTGCCTTTGTGTGTGTGTGTGTGTGTTGTCATGACCTCATATTACAGGAGTGTGCCGCATAAAAACAGTCTTCACAAAATCAATGCCATGGAAACAGCAGACTAACAATATCCGACAGTGTAGGCTGACTGAGTTAAAATAAAGTCAAAATCTCATGAAAGATGCAGAAATGAATGAGTTCTCCGTGATCGAACCAGCAGGCTCACATGCCGAAGCATTTAACTTTAACTGTAAGACACAGCTAAATACTAATGATAGTAACAACAACAATAATAATAATACTTGTTGTTGCTATTATTATTGTTATTATTGTAGTCTGTTATAGTGGTCTAATCATGATTTATTACAGGACTGTTTCATTAGACTGAATTAGTTGCATCTCATGAATTTGAAACTAATTGTATACTGTAGTGACAATGAAATCTGAAAAATCCAATTCTGCATAATGAGTCATCTTACTTTTGATACATGTTGCTTTGAAGACTCCAGTAGTTCTATTGAAGTACATTTATATATCATATTCTCTTGTACATTTTCATATTTCTGAATACTTCTTCCTCCACTGTATTTCTGATCTCTTTGTGGACCCATAAATCCAGTAACACTGCTTAACTCAGTTGCAATGTGTTGCAATTATGTTGTGAAAATACCCACAACTTTCCCAGAGCATGCAGCACACCCCCATCCTCTGCCAACAGCATTCACAGCACAAACAAGACAGAAATAGCCCTTTCTCCATTTGAGTTTTTCTTTTACTGTCTTCACTACTAACAATAAATATCCTGCAACACAAAACTGCTCATAGTCACAGACATGCTTAAATGAAAACTATTGAAATTAGCTTTGGGCTATACCGCAAGAAAACAGATCTAACAATATTGCACATTTCTGTACATGGCCTGATGGGAAATTTGGCCACGCAGATGTCCATAAAATCAGGAGTAAACAAACATACACCTCATGTGACTCCTGTGATCAGTTTTGGCCTCTTGATAAGACTGAGTGATAAAACACATGTAAACAGGTGAAAAAAAGGTTAAACAAATAAAAAACAAACATAAGGCAGATTATCTGAAGTTAAAAAAATAACCCTCTCAGAAGATTCAAGTTAGAGAAAACTAAAGCATCAACTAAACAAAGGCCCTAAAATACTGTGCAAGGGTTAAATATTGAGCAAAAACATTTAAATCTATATCATATTATTCTTTCTCATAGTCAAAGCAGCCATCAATGTTTTACTTCCCAACAATGAAGTATATCCACTCTTTTGTAAGACAAGCCCTGATGAGAATACACATGACTATCGCTTTGCTACACACGAACGTATCTTTTGACACATAGGGAAATACACAGTTTAAGGCAATGTATTAGACGGTTACATACACTTTTTCTGTTGGGTTGTGGGATGATGTAATCGTGCAAACAGAGCACTAATGGTCATAATGCAGATACCAAACACAACTGAGAGTTTCAGAAACTGTTTTTTGGAATTCTTCCTCAGCGAACACATATTAAAGGACTAAAAGGAAGGTTTCCATGTCTGTTTTAAAACAGTACTCATATGTGCATAAGCACAGCTTTTGCTTGCTGTATTCATACCTCCTGTTCATACCGTTAGTAGATCCCTCCCTAGCATGCTGGGGGACAAATCCACAGTCCTGGTTCCGTTTTAAAATCTTTTTCAAAGTTCAGCTGAAGTTATTTTATGAGGTACTTTCAGCAGCCTCAGTTCAAATCAAGTGGGTATCAGAAACACTGCCCAGCGACACACAAAGTGGGAATTTTAAACACTAAAACTTTTGAAGTTGCCACTTGATATTACTAGAACCTAATTTTAGCTTCAGCTAAAAACAAAACAAGGACTGTGAATATTGCCCCCCCCCCCCCCCCATCTTATTAGCACATTAGGCAGGGATCCTTTAGCAACTAGTATGGACAAGAGGACTGATTTAGTTCAACAAAAACCTGCTTCAATGTACATATGGACACTGAATATTCAAAAATGTGACCCTATCCTTTAAGTACCAGCAATAACTTCACATGAGGGCCACCAATACCGACCAAACATGCAGCGGCTCATATCAAAGGCCTCTTTGCCTGAGCCTGCAGCTGCCTTGGAACCACGATTGAACGCTGGGCTACGCGTAAACTACAGAAGACTATCCACCTATAGAAGTGCTGCTTAGTTAGTAAAATAAATCATGTATAATATTGGCAACTTGCCCTTTAAAAGTCTACACACTTGTTTCAAATGAAACAGAAAATGTCCTCTCAGTGATGGGAGCGTATGCATCTACAGCCTGCATCAGTAACAGTAGTAAAGTTGAGAGCGCAGCCCCCTGAAGGTGTCGTCGTCCTGCCCGCTGGCCTGCTCGCCTTCAAAAAGCATGGAGTCTGGGAGCACCACGCCCTCTAGTGGATCTGGCTGGCAGAACTCCACTATGAATTCCTCCTCGCAGTCCAGGAGCACTCTCAACCACGCGCCCAAGTCCAGTTGGCCTGCGGTGCCGCCGTACTCCTCGGGCAGAACCGACCGCGGGATGTTGCGGTGCAGAGAGCGCAGGTCCGAGCCGTGGAGGATGTACTGTATGAGGAGACGGCACAGATTCAGATACAGATACAGTCATCTGCCTTATTACTTAAAGTGGCTATAATCAATCAATTTAATGTCGTGTCATAAAGGTGTCACTCGTATTAATGAACCCATAAAGAGTTATCGCCTGACTTTGCAGTTCCTCTCAAATTAATAAAGATTCTTTCAGCTCATTGCTTTGTTTTTAGAGTCCACAACCTTACGTTTTTTGGTTCAGGAAAGCTCTAAATATACTACCTGCTCAGCACCAAACAGCAGCTAGCTGGTGAACATAGTGGAGCATTTAGCTGCTAAAGGAACAGATATGTCCTATTCACAATTAAAATGAATGCTAATGTCTCTGCTGATTGTGTAAATGAACTGTATGCTAAAACCTTTGCGATATTGTTAAATTAAAAGGTGATGACATGTCAGCGTTGTGCTTGTTTCCACTATCCCCAAATCAATAAAAAACTCGCAAGAGATATAGGAAAACACATGGTTGTGTAGCTGGTGGTTTGAGTTCATCCCCCTGAAAAGAAAATGCTTGGCCTTCATCTTCACAGATGAAAATAGCCCATTATTCTGGAGCAGAGGCTGCAGATAAAAGGGAGGTACATGACTGGAAATAGTCCTTTGTTTAAAACAAAAGAGTCAGACACAATTCAAGGACAATAGTTACCCTCTCTGCCATCTTCTCCTTCAGAAAAGGCTTAATAATAGCAAAGATGCCTTTGAAAATCATGGGCTCGTTTATTATGTTAACAGCCTTGATTCTGATTGGAAAGCCATCCTGTGAATCAGAAGAGAAACTGCACTCAGAACAGTCACAACTGGTCCTTGTCAAACATAAATATTACACTGTCTGCAGTCACGACAAAACTCAGTCAGTGCTAAAGAGCCACTGTTGTAAATGACAAGGTTTTTTTCTCACACATCTTAACATAGTTACTCATCATCTTTGCTGTGTCACAACATAGAAAAAAAACATTTTGACTAAATGCTGCAGTCATATATCTGTTTCGGAAAATATAGTCATTTGCTGATATCATTTTAAAAGTCATCAGATCATAAGACTTATGTTTTCACCTGGAGGATGCTCACAACTTTTTTGGCGAGGAACGGGCCTGGGTTGGAAGCTTGTGACATGCCCACTCCGCTGTAGTCGGCTAAGATGACGATACCGTTCACCTGCGTCTCTTCCGGCTGGATCAGCTTCTCCAGAGTCAGATAAATGGCCCTGACATTGTCAACAAACGGATAATCATTTGGTTTCCATTTCCCTGTAAATGGAGATTGAGTTTAGTAACCACACATCATGAGTCAAGCCAATCCTGGAACAATCGGTCAAACAGTATTCACTTAAAGTTTTGGAAAAAATACACTTCGTTTGAGGTCTACTGAAGAAAATAATAGCTAAATGGAAGACAGTCATTAAAAAATTGTTCGTTCATTATAAAACTGCAGAATTGGTCAATGAAGATGAAGCCGATACAAACCTGGTCGGAGAAAGAGGATGTATCTGCCGTTGGGGTCCGGCTGTGGCAGGACTGTGAGGAAGCCCAGGTCCAGGACGTGTTTCACCGTGGATGGCTTCAGGTCCTGGAAGACCTCTGGCCAAGCCTTGCGGCCTGCGTGGTAGTTGAGCAGCAGCTGCAGAGCTCGGTCATAGTCGAACTTCCTGGCCCGCAGGAAGCGCAAGAGAAAGGCGTCGTCCAGGCGGGTCCTGAGATTGGGCTGTTCCTGCAGAGCGAGGGGAAAAAATATGAGCATGACAAGACAAACAAGAAAAGACCATAAATAACAATGAGTTGGTCCTACTAGCATAGTGTCCATGTGTCTAAAGCCAGATGTATCGTACTCCTCTGTGCCATAGAGCTCCATTGAGTCACACTGTCACAACGACATTGGTTCCTTGATAACAATAAACACTGAGCACTGCATTTTGTTTTGATTCATACATCGTCCTGCTGCCGTAAATACATCTGTGGCAGAAAATTGTCCCCAACAGATGCACATTTACTCCTGTTTAAGTAATGTTTTTCCGAAAGCTAAAATGGCCAGCTGTTTTTCAACACTGTATTTGAAAAACAATGTATATATTTATGACACATTTTTAAAGATTTACATCTTCGGTAGAGAGCCACCGGCTGGTGATGTCAGAATGTTTACTGTTGTTGTTGTTTTTGGGTTTAGATGAACTAAGTCTTCAAATTGTACGGATGTTTTCTACTAAATTGTCCTGTCCATATAACTGGCACATAAACAGGAATAAGACCGTTTGTGTTTATATGAATACCTTAAGTATCATGTCTCTCAGTGCTTGGACATCCCGCAGACGCCACTCTGGCTTCTCCTGGAGCTCCTCCCGGGCTTTGTGCACCAGCTCCGGGGTCAGGGTGCAGGAATACATGGGTGGAGGGGGTCCAGGGAACCAGCTGTGTCCTGCAGCTGGTGATGGGTCCACTGGAGGAGACCTGAGATCGATGGACTCATGTTGATCAGCCATGGACTGACTGGGCGAGGCTGTTTGGCCAGAAACACACAAAAGGGACAAGAAAGACTATGAAAACACTAAAAGACACCTGGTTCTGGGCTGCCGCTTTAGCTGCTGGCAGATGGCTCACACACAGTGGTGGAAGGTAAACTAAGTGCATGTACTTAAGTAAATAAGCTATAAATTAATATTATGCTTCGATATGAAAAATATTGAATTATGTTACTGTCCTGAGTCATTGTACCATGAATCAACTTGCAAAGACCACAAAAGCACACAAAAACATGAAACACAACGGTTTACTTCAGAGGAAAACATTGTACTACATTTACCTGACAGAGAGACTGGTTACAATTCAGATTTTACTCACAAAATATAATAATTTAAATATGATGAATTGTCATTATTTTACCTATCCAGCAATATAAATTGAAAGCTCCACCTTAAACTTGATTTAAGTACATTGTGCTGGTAATGCATCCCTTCACCCTTCACTCAAAGTAAACATTTGAATGCAGTAAATGGTTTTCATCAGAAAGAAAGTTAATGAAAGATAATGAAAGCTGTTAATATGTCACATTATTAAGTTGTAATATGTTTTTTGCCAGAAAGTAACCCTGTAGATTCCCAATATGTGGTGGGTTTAACCTGTTTGGATGTATGTCTCTATTGGTTTCGGAGATGTGGGAGCTCAGGGTGTGAACAGTCTGCTGGTAAGATCATGCTTCATATCTGCAGCCGAGGGACCTGCTGACACTAACATACATATGTTGTTTGTTTTGCAAGGGAAACACTTTGTGTTATAAATGACTATGGCAAAAATTTACACAATTTGTGTTGCAATGGCAGAATGGCACTGTTCCTAGATAATGCAGTCAATGAACCAGCCGCTGTCTGCCCACTGCAGACGATACACGCGAGCCCACACCCGCTGCTACACAGAGCACTGTGTGATTGTTTAAACAAAGTTTACTACTATTGAACGTGTCCAAATTGCACCAAATTCTAACAGGCACTCAATGGGTTCCCAGCAATACACCCTCCAAGTGTGAAGTAGCTGGGATTAGAGGTTTTCGAGATATGCAGAGAAAACACAGGAGAGATTTATTGCCTAGATGTGATGTGAATACGTCTTCCACCACTGCACACACATAGTTTACATCAATATCACTTAACCTAATAAAACGTTCCCCGATAGCTGGAAAGAGTAGGATGATTCCCTATAACACTACAAACATGCTAACTGTAGGTATTTGTTAAACATTGAGTCAGATCCTAAACCAACACTGCTTGGCTAATATAATCTGATCCGAAGCAGAACCGAAGCGACACAACTAAAGTCAGAATAATGACTGAATACCAACCCAGATATGCGTTTAACTTGAACCACCTGGGACTCACATGAACGCCTTTTATGAGCATGTATTGGCAAGAGATACAAAAGTCATTCAGAAGCCGCTGCGACCAGAAAAGTGTCAAAAATATCACAAATTACCTGTCAGGAAGATCCTTGTTCCGGGTAAAGAGATGGCGGTCTCTCATTGGTTCATATGATAGCACGTGACGCTCTGTTGTCGCACCAGAGAGGTTGAGTTTTGCGTCTATTGTTTTGACGGCAATGCTGCGTTCAAGTGCCCTTCGTAAACTAGCCACTCATACTTGAACAAAATGGACCTTGTCCAAAAAAAAATAATATTATTTTGTGGGTGTTTCGTGAGTCTCTCATCTTTTTTATACTTTAAGCACTTGTTATTCAAAAACACATTTGCGACAAATGACTGAATGACGTGGCAATATTTTACTGGCTAAAACAAAAACTACATTCTACGACCCTTTTTTAGAGGCTTTTCACACGGCTTCGGTGCATTTCAACATCACATGTTGCAAACTAACATAAATAGAAATGGCATACTTCTTCACGGACTATTGTTTGCTAGTTTCAAGTTATTTCAAAGCATAAGTACTATTTTAACGGAATTAAAGTAAACATATAGCCTGTCAATTTTTTTTTTATAGTAGGGCTAGTGCATACTACGTGTAGTTGTATTCCCTGCATTACATACAAATCTTCATCATTAAAATAAAATTGCTCGAGTTAGTTTTAGCTGATGTTAATGTTAACATGGACCATAGGGTTGATGTGGTCTAAATTTCTTTTTTCGACTGTGGGCAGATTAGATCAGTTACATTTGAATACGGTAGATGGCAGAGTTTGCCTTCATATTGCTCAACCTCCACCCCCGTCTATGTTTTATATTTTTAAATTCAAAATTAATTCTTAAAATGATACTAACTAATGGAAGCATATATATGTACTTTTTGGGGTGTTTTGGTAAGAAAAAAAGTACTTTACTTGGATATCTTAGAGGATGACTTCATCATGACAATCGTTTTAGTCTAAATGAAGCACATTATTATTATCTATAGACTTATTCAACTAGAATGTAGAAATAAATCCTTAAAGTGTCAAACCTCTCTCTCCGTCGTCCCCCTCTCCCTCTCTTGAATCAGTGCTATCTATAATGATTTTATGGCACTTTATCAGTCTGACGCAACATGTTGCATTATGCTATCAGTGAACAAGCAGCACTGCCACGTTGGACCCTTTTTTCCCCTACAGTCTGCAACATGTGGGATTTCTTGATTAAGTAGTCAGAGAATGTGCAAACCCCTTCATTCCTCATAGAATCATAGATAATGTAAAATATGGTCTGCAGAAAATGCAATGTAAAAATAGATCTCGGGATTTATTAATTCATCTTCACATTGTAAGGCAAAATATTGCCTTTTTTTGTAAGGCAGTACAGGTTACAAGGCACAATTTATTCCATCAGTTAAACCGTGACAAAGTACTAAACAAAAAATATAATATATATATTAAAAAAAGAAACACAACATATTATTGGGAAACTTCCTCAGTGTGTCTGTTTGCGACTTTTATAAAGTGGCACTACAGAGTTCACTATTTATTCCAAGATTCCTTGGTGTAAATTTGAACATGTTCAATTTCACTTTTGTAATATGTATTTTCCAATATATACAACAACATATATTTTAGTCTTTTCACAGAATGTTTAAAAGTTGAACTCTGAAGTGATTTCTGTTAGCTTTGATAAAGACTTCCTGACAGAAATTTGACACAATTTTATCAGTAATAAGCATAAAATAAAATACTGTGCAACACTAAATACATGACAATGTAAGGCCTGTTGTAACATTCATAAAATACTGACATGACCCCACCACCATGTCTAACATGAGCCTTACTGCACACACTGAGGACATGTGAAAAGTAGTGACGTTACCCAATAAAAAACAACATATATACAACAATTTACGTCTTTCTACGCCTCTACTTTAAAGAACAACAGTATGAATGGATAGTTTGGATGCTAATAGTTTTGTCTGGCTTTTACTTGAGCTGTGGAGTTCAACTGCTGCTGCGTGTCTGAACAAATATATCCCTGAAGTAAAAACAGCAATCTGCAAGGGACTAATTGCAATTATATTCTTTATATTTAGCAACTTTATTGTTTCAGTCAAGTTAACAGCTTCAATGCTGATTATGTATGAACATACACAAATAAAACCTGGTTTAACACAATAAAAAACAAAAAACTAAAGGAATAAGGGTTCAGAGGACTGTTAGATGGCCTCTTGCTTTGTAATAGTAGGCTGAGGGATGGAGGTTGGCTGCTTGGGCACGGTGGCTATGACCCCCTGAGCCAGTTTATAATGTTCTGAGCTGGAGGCCGTAGGCGGAGATGGGATTGGGGTTTCAGGAGTGGCTGAAAAGTAGAACACAAAAGAACAGGAGCGAGTTAGAGGGGAAAACTGCAGCATTAGTAGGTGTATATTTACCATTCTGTGGTATAACGTGTCTTGGGGCAAAACAATATTCAGATGAGGAATAAGCACTTTTGTGAAATTTCTCAGAGCATTAAACATGTTTAGAAAGAATAACAGAAGTTCCCTTTGACAAAATAAGCCAGATTAGTTTCCATAAAGAATTTAGAGGATTATTCTGCCAAGCCTGTTTGTCCTTCCAGCTACCTGACTAGGCTGCACATGGAGCTGGGTGAGGGAGGTTTGACTATCACTGTTAATTAAAGTATGATTGATTTCAGTTCATTTAGATGAATTCTTCTGATCACACTGATCAAACTTGGGTGGCCAAAAAGTGTCCCAGTTTTCCTACTGCATGTGGCAAAGAATGAATCTCAATATTTAAGCTAAATACAGAGAATCTATCTTGATGCCACTACAGTTGTACTCCACATTTGTCTTTTGAACTTACAGATTTGACCGTTATGGATCGGCGTTGGGATGTTGCTGGTCACTATAACATTGCTGCTGAGGTGCTCTTGAACCAGGTGAGGGTGCAGAGAGTGAGGTGCATGTTGGGCCTCATTGGCAGTACCTGAGAGAGAAAACACACAAAAATACAGTCGGTCTTCATTTACTACTGCATATCTGACTCCCCATGAATGCCACAGTCCACTCTACTGTCTATATTCTTAACAGACATGGATTCTGTATATTGACCCAAAGCTTTTAAGATCAGAGGTCATGGTTACAAATGATCTGAAAGAGCTCACCTCCGAGAAGCATTTCCTGTAGCAGGTTGTCAATCTTGGCCATTCCAAAGAGTTTGACAAACTGGATCTGTTCGATCATTTGCCAGGTGATGCTCTGTAGCGTCGGCAGCAGCAGGAGCAGCTCCCCGAAGCGGCCCCGGGAGTCGTACTGCCTATCGTTGATGTAGTCTTCCAGGCTGACCTGGACCTGGTATCGCATCCGCTTGATTTTTCCAGGGTCACTCAGACCTTTAGCATCTGGGAGCAAATAAAAGCAGGTGTTGTTTACAAAGAGAAGTGTTTTAATAAGTCAAAATGTTTTATCTGTATACAGTGTCTAGAATACTTCTAAGTGATATGTTTGCCTTTTCAAAAGTGGCTGATACAATCCAAAAGATTGTTCAGTAGCAGTACCTGGGTCAAAGAAAACTATGGCTTTCAAGCAGGCATATTCATTGTCGTCTATCTGAAGCTCCTGGAAGGGAAGCACCAGTTCATCCAGGATTCTCACCGCCACCCTGCCAACCTCCAACTCCGGGCAGTTTCTTGGAATGATGTAATCATTTCCTACAAGAGCGTCACATTACAGGTTTAGTGCAGGAAATATGACAATGCTTTTTGTAACAGGATTGGGCGAGTGTGGTAAAACATTACTTCTTATGTCAGCTTTACCTAATAAGAGGATGTCTTTGTAAAGCATCGACCTTTTTGCAACACCAAGCAAGAGGTGCTCTCCAGCATGAGCTCGCAGCAACGCCACCTGAAATACAGTGAATTCATTGACTTATTAGCTGTGTGATAATAACTGCATTCATTTGAATGTTTTGGTGTTGTACAGTTCTATCCCTTTCGAAAAATAAGTCTCTTTTGAAGCTTTCTGGTGTAAAGTGAAGAGTGATAAACCCTGGAGGAAGACACTGACTCCCTCACTGATATAACATCTGCAAATCAGTTACCAAGGCCTGGTGATCAAATTGTTAATGATTCAGCACTTTTTTAAAGGTGGGATATAACTATAAAAACCGCTCATCATATGCTAACTCAAAATGAAAATACATTAACCACTCTGGTTGAAGAGTTTGAGGTTTAAAGTAAAAAATTATGTTTTTTAACGTAACTCCTTTTTTTTTTTACTCCATTTTTATTTATTTAGGAGGAATATGTCCTCAGAGTACTCCTGTTCTCCTGCAGCCCGCACTGTGGTCTTGAGCAGACTGGTAGATGAGTGACCAGAGTGTCTATACAACTATGTGCACTGTGTCTGTGTATAAGTCTTACCTGATCATCCAGGGGCAGGTCACAGAAGGCTGGGATGTACTTGGCCCACTCCACCAAGACCAGCAGCTGCTGTTTCATGGACTCACACACATCTGTGATGGCGGCGATCTTTTTAGTCCTTATGTCGCCGTTCAGTATAGGAGCAGGGGAGGTGATCTAGATAAGGCGATGCAGATGTGGAATCATTTGATGCCTTGTTACAAGTGATTAATCACAGTGAGATGTGATTCCCAAACATGATATATATAGTTTGTCTTACCTGTCTTGACAGCACGTCTGCCTGGATGAGTGCATTGATGGATGGTAAACTGCTGTCTTCATAGCTGGATCTCCTGGTGCTGATTCTGTCTCTTTCATTCTGCACAGCTAAAAACACACGCAGATTTATAGTGTCATCACTGCCGCAGAAATATTCAAAGACAAATGTGCCATTTTCTTGCAACACACAGGGAAACAATGACACATGTTTCATTTTCCCCCATATCTTTGTTACACAAAGAATGCAGAGCAATTTAAAAGAAAAATAAGTCTTCCAAGGTTGTCATGTTTATCAGTATATGGCCATTATTGCCTGGAAATGTTTGCTCAGCATAAGCTGGTTAGAGACTTCACCGCTGCACCG